GTGAAGCGAAACAGGGTGGCAAAATCGAGACGTTGCTTCCGTCAGATAAGATGCATTTACCTGTTCGTCACGGGTGTTATTTGCACGTTGAGGCGTCGAGCAACGAAGGGGCAGGTTCGGAAAAATTCACCTGACGGGGGACAAGGAGTTTATTGTGATTCTTAGGGGCCGTTTATCTGAGGCAGGAACCGGCCGGCAGCTGTTAGCACGCGCCAAGGATGAACCGAGCCTATCTGTTTTCATTTTGTCGACAAACACCGCGTCTAATATTCGAACGCGATACCTTTCGAGCCGGAAGAAAAAAAAAAAAAAAGGACAAGATTTATTTCCGACCCCTACACCTGGCCCCCCGCCGTAAATATATCGATAGTAGCTCGCAAAGTCGTCTCTTTCCGCAAATAATCCAACGTCGGGTTGCTCCTACTTTCTTACCTCGACGATATCTTGATACGACACTGCCACGATGAATTTTCTAACACTGTGTCTGACAATTCTGTTCTAAATTTCTCTCACATCGTGAAAAAAAAAATTAATCGAGCAATACACAGGTACATTTTGCTCGAGTGAAATTTCTTTCCAACTAAACGTGCATCAGCCCCAGTGCAAAACTGGAGATCGGTCGTGTTTCTGCTCCTATTTTGACGTTAAGACAGAGATACGCGAGAGAGTATCTGTGATCGGGATCGCGATCGAACGGTATTGTAAAATGATTCACCACAGGGGTTCTGATCGATAGCGGTCGGCAAGGTCCTGTGATCCTCGCTCGCGCGACCCACCAGGGCATCTCGTTAGTCCCGATCAGGAAATGGAATATCGTCCCCTTCTCGCGACTTTCACAACGAGAAGTATACCATTTTCTCTTCCCTGGCGTCGTCCATCGCGATCGAACGCGATGGTCACGCGTCGCTTGTCATCTGGTACAATTAACCTTGTAGAAAATTGCATTCGAAATCGATCTAGCCACTACGTCACGAAGATTCATTTCCAATTGTTTTACACTCCTTGCCGCGCTAAAATATTATCTTCGTTCGACTGTGCCGAAAGTCTCACGTAGCGAGTAGCGAGATTGTAATATAAAACATGTAATATTTGTAAAATAAATTGGAAACAAATATAATATTAAAAAAAAAAAAAATGATCAAAAAAATTGAAACTTCCCTATAAAAAAGTAAGAAACGTGACCTGCTACGTTCTTCCTTTTACAATCTCTCTATGTCGCTTCTAAGTATCTACTAAAAACTAAGTTATAGGAGGAGAACGAGCTCTGACTCCGGCTCCAGCTCCGGTTTTGACAAACGTTGACCCGTTTACAACCCCCGGGTTTCCGAGGTTCGCGCGGTTGTCAACCGGGGACGATCGTACCACGTGCAGCCTCGGCGCCACGTGGTAAGAATATGTTCGGCATGCGTCCCGTAAAAAAATGCTCGCTCGCCAAATCGCGTGTAAAAATAGAACGAGAGGCAACAAGTGGTTGTCGCGTGGACCGTTGGCTTTCCAGCCTTCGAATTCGACGAGTTCCTCGACGAGAAATCAAAATCGAGACCTCGTCGTTCACCAACAATCTGTAGCTGTATTATCGTTGAAGACTCACCGCCACAGTTTCCCAAGAGTCTTGGACAGCTCGGCGTTGTGAAGTTGCGGATACTGATCGGCGAGTATCCTCCTCGCAGCCTGAGCCCACACCATGAACGCGTTCATCGGTCTTTTCACGTGGGCCGCTCTTTTGTCGCCGGAACCCCTGCAATTCGAGGACATTATCTTCATTGGAAACGATTGTTCTCTTCAAATGCAACGCGTCTCTCTTCCGGCGGAACAGAGAATGAAATGTGCGAAAAATATCAGTTAACTAAAATGGAAACGAAGGGTTTGGGACGCATATAAAGAGGCAGTTTCCCTTTCCCAGTAATTTATTCCAATCAAAAAAAAAAAAAAAAAAAACCCAAGTACAGGGTCTCTAGTATGCTATAAGTCCATCGTCGATTAATATTGAAACATAAAATCTACGGTCATTCGCGCACACCATTATTTTCTGCAACGAAGCAGTTCCCCTCATCGTCAGTTCAGCGATTTTATTTCTGTAAATTAAATTTGAGTACCTGCCACTTAATCGGAGTATCCTTGATAAATACTAAATTATAACGAAATATAATAAATCATAATAAAAATTCCATTGAATATTGGAATACTGCCTTCTTGTTACTCGGATTGTGTCGATTCCTAAACAGGAATCGTTCGAAAGCCAATTGTCGCACAATTGTCAATTCTAAGAAAATCGTCTAACGAAACGACGAGAAAGGATTACGGGGGAGGTGACAGGAAGCAGAAGAAAGTTTGAAGGAAATTCTGGAAAACATATCGATCCGGTGACACCGGTTTCAAGAAGGTTGCAACCAGAGGCTGTTCTCGCGTCGAGACGTGTCCTCGAGGAGAGTTTTCTACCACGCTAACCCTCCTTCCTCCCCCCACGGGGTCATCCTGCGGAACGCGGCACGCTTAAAACCGGCCTTAAAATAACACCGGCGCTGCCAACGGGTGACGAGCAGGAATGGACGTATCCCTTTCTTTCCTAGAAGATGACTTCATAAAACCGTTCGCCTCGTCCAGCCCGGGGATCGACTGACGTGACTGACGTGATTGCCGTACAGGCCCTTCTCTCTCGCGCGCTGTTTTCTTTCTGGGGATTAATCGAGCCTCGTTCGAGGACCTGACGCCTCGGCCAAAAACCCCAGTAGACCCCGGCTAGGAGAAGTAAACGAAACTTCACCAAGGATATACGCTCGCAGGAACTGCAAGAGCAACGGGATGCTGCCGTCTCTACCATCGTCGTCGAAGGTGAGAGAGATTTTTAAAAACCACAGAACCAGAAGCTCGCTCGCTCCAGAGAGAAAGAGAGAGAGAGAGAGGAGAGCGAAAATACGGAAAGAAGAAGAAGAAGAAGAAGAAAAGCAGCAGCAGCAGCAGCAGCCAGCGGAGAAAGAATTTGAGAAAGGAGGCTCGTATAGATTTCGGCCTCTTTGAAATAAGAGGGGCGTTAAATCCGTGAGTAAACCCGTGGAGCCGTTGGTAATTAGCGCCGGTCCACTAACAAGGGTTTTCACAGGAGTCGCGAGTCGCTTCGCTATACGCGGTTTACCTAGATACGCAAAAAATCTCCGAGTCTTTACACCTCGTTTACGCGGTCTCGCGGCGTAGGCGTGGCAATGAGAACGACGCTACAGCTACAACACGCTCCTTCTTTCTCTTCTTCCCGATCTTTTCTCTGTCTCGTTTGCGTAATTTCGTGCTCGAAACGTGAACGATACTCGTCGCGAGACAGACATGTCACACGCGAGATACTTGTCACTCGAGAAACGAGCTTTCGACGACGGAGGATTACAAGTTGCAGAGGTTTTGCAAACTTGCACCTTCATTCCCTCCGATTCGTCCAATCTTCCGTTGCGAAATTCGGTCGAAACGTAGGTACGAATCACGAAAATGAACAAACTCTCGATAATAACTGGAAAATCAAATAACAAGGAAAGAATATCAAGGGCTGCGCGTTTCTTCCTTTCTTCTACGTTTCTTCGGAAGAGACTCGCTGCACGCGACTTTTAACTTCTAGACGATAGGCGAGCTTCGACTCGAACGAATAAGTCGTTTAGGAGGGGAAAAGAGAAGGAAGGAACGTAGGAAAACGCGCGACAGTTCCGAGTGCATTCTCATGGATTCCATGGGAATTAAAACCAGTCGATTTTATCGGGCCCTATCGTTGGAAATAAACATCGTACCCCCTTTAGCTACCCCGAGATAACCCCGTATAATTGAGGGTTAGCGCGATAAGCGCGTCATGCATAGCGATACACGCTCGGAGATTTCAACCGTAACCCGAGGAAATTTTCCGTGAGCTGGCTCTGCACACCTATGCTGGATACAAACTGTTCGACGTTCTCGACGGCGTTAAATGCGTTTAAATGCCGTCGCACTGGAATAATGAATCCTCGTATTAGCCATCGACGAATGATTACGTCACTGCTTCACGATCCGCGTTTCGATTTTATCGAATCGTAACGATCGTCGAGTATGGCGCAACGAGAAAACCGACCATTAATTCGTCGTCCCCTTCTTAGATACGAACGAACGAACGAAAAAACGCCATTTCCTCTTATCGCCTTCCTCTTGTCCTTTGCGATCTTTCCTCTGCTTCTCTTCCCACAAATCGCGATCGACGGAGTTACGCGACGGACAGAAATAGAGAGGAGAGACAGGCAACGAGATCGGGCATTAATTAGCTAATTTGCGTTAATTGGCAGCCGAGGACACATTTCCACCAGCCGTTTCCCAAGCCGAGGAAACCAGTGCGTCATAATTAAGTTAGCGTTACGTATTTTTAAAGCTTAGACCGCGCGCGTTTACTTCCCTCTCTTTTTCTCTCACACACGCACGCACACAGTCTTTTCCTCTGCCTGTTCATCTTTTTCGTTCTTTTTTTATTTTTTCTTCCTTTTTCGCTACGCGTTAAACTCTTACGGCGTCTTGAAACGCGTATTCGCGGCCGCTAACGACGCCTGCTAAATATCGACCCTGAGACTTTAGCAAAGCTCTCGCATGTTTGAGAGGAAACAGAAAACTCTCTCTCTCTCTCTCTCTCTCTCTCTCTCTCTCTCTCTTTGTCTAAGAGTCGTCGCATTGAGAATAGGCGTTAAATATAACCATCGAACGTAAAGACTCACTTGGTAGCAACAGGTACCAGGGTCCAGTCGTATCCCTGAAGAACCTTGGTCACCGCTGCACTGATTCTTTCGCCACCGTTCGCGGCGACCGCGGCCGTCACAGCCGATGCTTTTCCATTGTTGCTCGCGTTGTTGCTCCCATTGCTCGCGACAGAGCTGCTGGAGTTGGCGGGATTGGTAGCAGCGTTGCTCGACGAGATCGAACCCGATGCCTCTCCCATGATGTCGTTCATCTTCCCCCGATTTCCTTCGATCGCCAATACAAAGAGAGAGAGAGAGAGAGAGAGAGAGAGAGAGAGAAAACGGCGAAATCCACGAATTTATCGGCCGCAACGAGCGTTCATCGTTCAACGAAGAATCGTACACGTTAGCCAGCAACGGTTCATCGATTGAATTGCAATTAATTATTTTATCATAACGGCAACACGTCACTTCCGTTTCTCAGCTGGCTGTCTCGGCGATCTCGACTCTGTTACTCCTCTTTTCTCTCGTCTCTCGGCCGGGATCTCGCGTCGTCAGTATCGGAGCGCGGCGCGCACGTTTGTCACGTTTAATTAATTTCGCACTCGATTACGAGCCGAGAGAGAGAGAGAGAGAGAGAGAGAGAGAGAGAGAGAATACAACGAGCATGCATGCCAAGCCGTCGGCGACTCGCCGAGGTCTCGGCCTATCTCCTCCAATAGACTCTTTTTTTCTCTTCGTCTCGACTCGAGCCACAGCAATTCTCTATCTATCTGTTCTTTTTCTTCTTCTTCTTCTTCCTCTTCTTCTTCTTCCTCCTTCTCTTTGTATATCGGCCCGTTTCACTCGTCTTTTCACTATCAGCCACGATTCTGCTTCTATCTTCCTCTCTCTCTCTCTTCGACTACGAACGATCGACTTCGAGAACGCACGAGTTCACGCTGAACTATGCTGCGTATTCCCCGATTTCTCGGCCTCGATCCTCTAACTTATCCTCCCGCAACTTCTCGGAACTCCTTCTATCGCCGAAATACCTCCGATAGCCTCGCTTCTACTCGCGATCCGACGCTCGCTCTTCCGTCTTCCCTCGAAACCGTTCGAAGGCGTTCTCCGACTGCCACCGATTCACCGATCTTGATGACACACGATCACGGATCGTTCGTTCTCCTAGTTACGCGTGCACGATATTATTCACTTGTTGTTCACGGGGGTTCGTTCGTCTCGATCCTCGCGTGACAATTTGCGTGAAAATTTCGCCTTCGAAAATTGTCCTTCTCCAGCGGGACACCTGCTGTCTTCTGTCAAACCAGCCAGCAGGTTTTTTTCTCCGAGCACAAACAAGCGAGCGACACTTCTGTCACTGTACCTCGCCGCGGCGGAGTCGCGAGAAACGATCACTCTCTCGGTGGCGGTGTGTCAGGATCGCGCGGTCACCATCAACATCGTGCTCCGTCTCTCGGTATCTACGGCGGAAAAGCAAACGGAACGAAAATACACGGAATGAAAAAAGCCAGAGTGTGTTGGACAAAGATTTCCAGTTGCTTGCGCGATCGACGCTCGAGTGAGGTGGTTGAATCGCCTCGGGGCACTTTCCACCGATCGCTTCGGCAACGGTTGTTCGTTGGGGGCGGAGCGACGGGCCGAAGAGCCGCTAACACTTGTTGCTCCGCGAGGAAAGGGAGCGCCCGGTGACGAGAGGAAAGGGAGCGCTCATATCTCGCTTATAGCATTTTATTCGACAGGGAAAATGCTTCGGGTCCTGTCGCCTTCGGCCAGACGACCAGTCGAGGAGTTGAATTCGACCGTTCCGATTCTCTACCGACTCTGTCAGCCCCTCCAAAAATCCTCTAGTTTATTTCGGTTCTCTCTCTTTCTCTCTCTCATCTTCATCTCTCCTCGTGGACGAGAGTCTCTATGGCTACGATACCCTCTCGGAGCAGGACCAATCGGGTTTCTTCTTGTTCCACCTACTTCTCCGTTCCTTTCTCTTCTCCTCTCTCTCTCTCTCTCTCTCTC